GCTCAGTTAGAATAAAATAAGTCATCAAATCTCAAGTAACGTATTTCAAAAATCCCTGACTGTGATAATTCCCAGGTGACGCTTTGCTGAACCCAAAATAGAGACCAGCGCATGATCCCCTGCTCACACAAAGAAGGGGGGGGGGAGATTTTTTTAAAAAGAGTATCGAAGAAAAAGGACAATAATTAAACCTTGCTCCTCTGAGATAAAGAATTAGGTCTGTGACTGATCACAGACACGCTTCAAGGCTGCAGATAAAAGCAGCTCAGTGAGTCAAGCGATTGATTCTTAAAGACAGCATTCAAAGGTAGAAGAAAAATTTGAAAAATGAAAGGGTATGGAGGGCTGGCTCTCTGAACTATATCTGAAACCCTTCTTCTGCCCACTGCTTCTTTCTATGACAGTCCTATCACATATCAGACAAACACAGTCATCTTTCTTTTTTGATAGAGCTCTCCTTTGCAGAGGATAAATTTATAATATTTCAATTTCATAGTCGCCATGTCATTTCTACATCATTCATTCTTGAAAGAGTTTAACAATGATGGTGTCTTTAAAAGACATTTTGCTGATGTGAACACATGTATGATTATGATATAATTTTGGGTCCTAGACAATACTTCAGTTTATAGTTGTTATTTGTATTAGTTTGCATACTGGTTTGCTAGCATTAGTTTGTTTTTATTGCTAGAGTTGGAACCTAGGGTTTCTCTTGCCCTGCACAATCACTCTACCATGAGCTGTATTCCCAGACCAGTAAAACAATAGTGTTGATTCCTGCCTAATTTTTTTCTGACTTAATGTTACTGCTAAGATTTGTTGCCTTTTAAAGTTTCATTCATTTTTACTAATATTCTTTTTATATGTACTTTCTGAAAACATTGTTTATTAATACTTCCCAAAGAGAAAAATCTCTTTTCATTTTCGGCTTTTAAATTAAGATTTTGAAAAAAATTTAAGTCTTTTACTCTGCTCAATTTTCTGAGCTAATGAGAACTGTGACCTAAACATCAGGTACGTGTGTTCATGTCTTTGCTCCCAAGACACTGAAAGAGAGACCACATTAAATTTTTATTTTTCTTCAAAGATCAGACTAACCCTGGGAAACTAACTAGGCGAGTTTAGTTATCCTCTGCATCGAATCTCTCAGCCTGGGCTGACTGGGTCACATAGTCAGTCTCTTTGAGGACAGACAAGTGGCTTGACACGCTTCATTGTCCTAGTGAAACCAAACCAAATGGCTTTAGAATGTGCTAGTCTAAAGCTACTTCAGTCAGCCTAGCATCTCCCAGGGCTCTTGACACCTTCCAGGCTGTCTGCATCCCCTTACATCAGCATGTACTGCTGGCTCTAAGAACCGCAAGAGGAAGTGTAACACTGTCACCAAGGTCCCTTGAGGGCTCTAGAGGATGACCAGGGTTAGACTCAAGACAACAGTACACCCCAGGCCCCCACCCGCCCTGGCCATTTTCACCCAAGGAGCCTTTGTCAAACATTTAAAATCTTAATCAATCTTCGCTCTGACCCCTCAGACCCCAAGGAAGATGGATGAGGAAGTAGGTGACCTTTCACCTGTCCTTCTATTTGTCCTGCTGCAGTGGACTCACTGAAAAGACAATGAGGAGCCTGCTGCCCCAGTTGTGAAGAGCTGGCTTGGTCTCCTTTATGCTTCTCCAAGCTCTTTTTATACTCCCCTTCTTGTCCCACCCCCAAATCACTGGTCTTTCATTCAAAGAAAAGTTCTTTGCTATAGAGCTAGAGGGGGAAGAAAGGGGAGTAGAAGAGATGGGGGGACACTCTTCAAATATGGTTTTCAATAAGAGCTGTGAAAAGGGAGTGTAATTGAGGGTGTAAGGTGCTTTCTATCCTTAGCTTTGACTGCAAAGAGTGGCTAAGAGACAGATCTAAGTCTTCTAACCCAAGTCCCAAGACAAAAGCTATGACCTTGGGAAGAGCCAGTGACAAAGATACTAACATGAACACCAATGTTTAGTGTTTCTGGTCTGCAAAGTCAACCTTTAATGCATAGGACCCTTTGGCAAGTTTGTGAGTTAAACATAATCCCTATCATTCTGCTTAGAAATGAACAAATTGAGGTTTAGAAGGCTTAGGAAATATGCCCAAGGTCACAGGGCCAACTATCAAACTGGTGCTATCCGCTAGTCACTATGTCTGTCTGCCCTTTCTGGTGATGCTGTAGGTCCAGTAAGACTGTCAATCAAGGTCAACTGTTTTGTTACTCCTGGGAGTTTTTTAGTGTCGAGCCATCTTCTAAAGCTCTCAAGTCTGGAATTCAGGAAATCCTTTGTTGTTCAAGCTTTTCCTTCATTCCTAAATATACCAGAGACTCTTGCTTGGCAGAAATGGGAAAAAAAAAAAAAAAAAAAGGATTGAGTTTTGTGCTTGAAGCATCTCCTTGTGAGAATTATCCACTTAGTGAGAAAAAAAAAACAAAAAAACAAAATCAAATTTAACACACACAGCTCCCTCCCCAGCTTGTATGAAAACATTAAGTTCTCAAAAATGACTCAGCTGCTGGGGGGCGGTGCTCCAGGCATGTAAGTGGAATGTTTAGGAAGTGGAGTCAGGAGGCTCTGAATTCAATGCTATTCTCAGTTACATAGTAAATCGGAAGCCAGCCTCATGTGATTTGTCTCAAAAAGAAAAAAGAAAAGAACAACTCATGAGACCCTGTTCTCAAATGAGCCGAAACGGGCTAGGGAGAGACACCGTCGCTCAGCATTCGCATAAGAAAGCTAGGTGTAGCACAAAGAACTGTTACCCAAGACCTGCAGTGGGTGGAGACAGGAGGAGCTCTGGGATTGGCTGGCTGCCAGGCTTAGCTTCCTGTTCCTCAAGACTGTCAAGAGACAGGCAGAGACAGTAAGTCCTTCTCTGACCTTTGTCACACCACACGGGCACACACACTCCAAAACAAACAAACAAACAAACAAACATCCCATTTCATTAATTTTAAAACTGCCTTAATAGAGTTTGCTCATAAACGGACAGGGCCAGCAGAGTCTAGCTCTTCCCCTTCCAGGAATGACATGGTGAAGCCACCAGCTCCATAAAACAAACCACGAAAATGTTTAATTGCCTTTCCATTCACTTCTTCCCCCATCTTTTTCTCCTTTCCCCCTAATTGGGATGGTAAAGATGTCAAGGAGTTGCAGGTAGAGCAATGTATGAATTCCCAGGATCTATGACAACTGAAGATCAATAGCGTTAGGCAAACCAAGATGTGATAAGGCTAGCAGACTGAACACGTTAGCAGGAAATGGAAGAACAATGATAACCATCCACATGCATCTCTGGAAGATGTGAAAAGTCCCACTCTAAAAAAACCCAAAAAGGCGGAGCATCTTTCTGGAAAGCCGTAGTGTGTCGCTGTCCTGTGCATTTGGCTGTCGGCTATGGCTTGTTCCTTCACCAATAGTAAGGCACACTTCTTTTCTCATGCAAATAATGCCAGGATCTACTTCAGAGGTCCTACTCAGTCCAGCTTATCAAGGAGTTCCCAAGTCAAAAGCAAATCAAACAGCATGGGACTCATCTTTACAGAAAACTTTTCACGGAAATTTGCAAATTTGCAAGTCAATGCAATGTAAAGATGGGTTAATGCAAATTAACCCATCTTTACCTTGTTTTATTGACAAGAAAATAAAAGTTCATAGACAGCCACCCCTAGAAAAAACTATAGCAAATCAGTAAAGGCCTGTGGGGAAAGTATAAAAACTCTGAAAGGGGAAGCACATAACTATCCCGATGACATTGGAATGACCAACAATGTACTTTCCTTGAGGTGATGACCACAGTCTAGCAAGTGGAATGCTAGATCCCACCCTGTCATTAGGATGCTTGAGATGCCAGACAAATTGTTTGGCAGTTATTTACTTCGGACTCTTTAATCACCAAATCAGATGAACTCGAGGCAACAGACAGATCAAAAAAGAGTCTCATCTGATATGTCCCAGAGTTGCAACCTAGAGACACAGTTGAGACACTGGCCACGGTTTAGCAATGGCCATAACGGAGTGGGCAGCAGCGACTGTCAATGACCATTAACAGCTGAAGCCAAGCAAGACAGAAGACGGGATGACTGGCTTGTTTTGGCACCTTAATCCACACATGGTATAAGCAAGCCCTATAAATGTGGGCTCCTGTCATCCTTGTCTCCAATGTAAAGCTGCTGAGAAGCCAGACTCTGCTCTGACAGAGGAAATCAAGAATGAAATGCTGACTCTGAACTTGGGTGAAAATCACCTTAGCAATGTGAATAATAATTAGCACAATGAAAATATCCTCTTCCATTGAAATTTACTACTGTTGCTTCTGACCACAGATCAAACAAAAGATGCTTTCTAACTGTATTATGATCTCCTCAAAGAAATGAAGAGTCTTTTGTCAAGATTAATTTTGCTTAGAAACCCTTCAAAGGGTGTTAGGTGGAAGAGAGGCACTTAAAGCATTTCCTACGTTACTTATTGGACCACTTCTCCACTGGTCCACGAGGTAGGAAGAAAAAAGCAAGGACTCTCTATGCAGCATAATTGTAACCAGTGGGAGGGCCCTGGGCGAGCCAACGTGCATTTCACATTTAACTCCTTCATGCTCCTACACATTCTGCCACTTTGACCAAGTCAGCAAACTAAGGCTCAAAAATGTGTCTGCCCTCTTTAAGCAAGGCTCAATCAAGCCCAGTTCTTCTTCAGCTTGTTCATTTACATTTCAGAAGGGGCATCAAGCTGGCTGGGATCTAAGGGCCTGTTAGCAAATGTGCCTGGCCTTCTGCTGATTACAGCAGCATCGTTTGTTTTCTCAGTATTAGAAATGTCTTAGCCTTGCCACCTGGAGCTGAAGCACTTACTCATTAGATCCCTCTGTCCCAGCACATCCCACGGGGGCTGCTAATTACTGGCTTTACTCCATTCAGTCTCATCTCTGATTTAATTACGTTCGCTAAGCCCTAATGAAAAGTACAGTAAGGCTGTTCTTACCTTGGCATTCACCATTCTGCTCCTCATGCCCAGCATTGCATAGGCAGTTGCCAATGGGTACCAGCCATTCGCCATCTGCCCCACAGTACATTTTTGGCACATCCTTCTCTTCAGAGTTGTTGACACAGGAGCCTCGAACTTCCACCAGGGAAGAGGTATCCGCCCCTGTGATGGTATCAGGAAACTGGGCTAGATTTCGAACAGTGAGTGGACACTTCTTGTAGAACACACGGACAGACACCAGGGCAATGCAAGCACCCACATCCTGAAAGGCCAGGTAAAAGCCCTTTTTGCTCAGTGGTCCCACATCCCGGATCTCAGTGTTGAGCTTCATGATTCGGTCACCAATGTCCACCTGCGTGAAACTCTCATCAGCCGCAATGGTGTCAATCTTGCCAAACTGGCTCTCTCTGATGAAGCGCTCCTTGTCGTTGTCCGATTCATAGTAGTACAGGTTAAACGTCTCCTTGCAAGTCCCCATGACGCCGGGAAGACTGTTGCAGTCCCTCAGAGTGAACTTAATCTCAATGTACACCCTCTGTGCCCCTTCTCGGGTGATCCAATCAGTTCGCAGCCAGTTGTTCTGGCTGGCCTCCATCACATTGCACACCTGGTAGGTTCGGATTGGTGTGTTTTTTTCATCCATAATGCTCACTTCCTCCCACTGCAAAGTTCAAAGAAAACATATCAATGAGAAAGTTTCATCAGAGATTCATCAAATCTATTTCACACTCTGGCTATCTTGCTATTTTCTTGAGAAAATTCCCCCACCCCTCTGCAAGACTCCTCTCCCCAACTGTCTGGCCTCCCCGGACACACTGTTTCACTTTTCTGCCTAAAATCAAAAGACAAGAGTGGATTTACTGCTGGCATGTTCTCAACAGTTCTTGTGGTGATCCAGAAACCTCAAATTCACCTATTGCAAGAGCTACCACTTGAGGTGGCAACAGTTCTCATTTACTCATAAATGAAATAAAGCTCTATGTATATTTATTTCAAGACTACACAGAAACCTGCAAATTAAGGGCAGGAAGTATTGAGCTTGCCAAAGGAAGACAGTTATCAGTTAATTAGCAGTGTTCCTGTCAGAACTTTGCTCTAATATTTTTTTAAATGACTTTTTTTTTTAAAGCATCCTGTCTATTCTTTAAAGGAAAGAAAGAAAATCCCACCTGGTTTCAGCCAACCTGAGAAGACAGGGCATTTCCTGACTGGGTTTCACAAATACACTGTCACAGGACTAAGAAACTTTTGAGAGGAGGCAGCACTGAGTTACAAAGTGTGTACATGTTCTTAGTTTTTAAAGGAGACATATAAGTAAACAAGAATGAATGAACAGTGCTTCACTTCCAATTAGGCACAACCAGTAAAAATTAAAATAGTAAGTGATATTTATAACTGAAAGCCCAAGTCAGAAAAGGGATTCTGATGGTGGTCACTTGCCATTCTAGGAGGTTCATTTTTGAGGAGAGTGATAATTTCACCTCTCCTGTAGTTTTAAAAGCTAATCCTAAAATGGGAGAGGCAGTCAGGGTTACACCTAACCCTGGCTCCTTCTAGACTGCTAGACAGCCTTCATTTCTTCATTAACATTTAAAATAATGCAAGATTGATATAGATCTGGCATAAATCAGCTTAAGTAGCTAACAGGAATATAATTAGAGGGAAAAGGGGAGTTTCGAAAAATTTCTATTCCACAATAGCACATTCACTCTGACGAGGTGCATAGAATCCTAATGTATCCTTCAACAGGTTCCCCTCCTCGAACTGAAAACTACTGATGGATGGAAATGCTGCTTCTCGGGAGGGCCATGATGCATAAAGTTCTGTGTCGGATTCCTCTGTCCTCACTGTGAAAGTTGGAACTGAAGGGGTAAGTGCTCTGTGGTGGTTAATTTTTATTTTAATCTATCAGCAATAATTTACTTATTTGGGGAAAAATCATGTAAATCTAAAATTAGATTCCCCATCAAAAATACCTATTCAGTATGTGTCTCATCTCAGAACAAAGATAAACTGGAAAAGCTCACTTATTAATATAATGAAAGCAAAGAAGAGAGGTCTCTTTAGAGCCCCCATAGGGTAATTCAGGTCAAGTGGGCGTCTATCCTGAACTGCAGTGTATGAAGACACTGATCCTGCCCTGTGGCAGTCATGAATCCATCTTCTCTTGGTTGCCTGTTTCATCATCAAGAGCATCAGCAACTCAGCACACCCCTTTAAATGGACCCATCAGAGAGGGGTGCCTGGTTCTATGGTGCCAGCAGGAGCCAGCCTTCACTTGTCACCATTCTGTTCTTCCCGATTGCTCTCTGGGACAGAGGCGTCTCTGACTCCATCCGTGTTACTTTGAGAAGTGGTGAGGTATTGGCGAGTTGGGTTTCTCTTGTTTTTAAAATAGTATGTTACAAGTAAATGCCATTACTAGACAACTCTGCTGTTTCCAACAAAGATGGGAAAGAAAGCATTCTATCTCCAAGGATAGAGTGCTGAACAAGCAAGAAGACCCCATGTTTTTAGCCTTAGCTTGGACCTGTTTTTCCAAGACAGCCATTACTAGTTAATTGATCCTCTGAATTTACTTTCATTCTAAACTTGAAAAGAATTGCAAAGACAAAAAAAAAAAAAAATCTAGAAACTAACTGGACTTTAAATTTTGACAGTTTCCTCAATGGCAGCTGTGTCTTTGGATGGCTTTTAAATTATTATTACTTTTGTTTTTGATCAATGTAAAAAAAAAAAGGTTTTATTATGGAGTTTTTATACATATGTACCATTAGCCTTGCTCTTCCTCAATCTTTTGTTGCCCCTCCCTTTGCTCCTTGCTGATCTCTTTCTGCCAAATCTGCTTTCATGTAACCTAGATTCTGCATATGAAAGATATGGCATTTTGACTTTTTTTCTCACCATTTCCCTTCTTGTTCCTACAGAATGACTAATTCTGATGTATGCTAGTAAAATTTCATGTTTGACTTCTTATGATAATAGCTGAAATGTTACACAGCTCATAATAAAGGAGGGAAAACTGCCTACATGTCCATAGAAAGTTCTGAGATGTGCACAGCAAGCTACACGATTAAAAAAAAAATGAGACTTTAAAACATCTAAAAGAAGTCTGAGTCTAAAATATGTGACCAGGTACTCTTTCAGCATTTCTACAGAGGCCAGGGGAGAAATAAGATGTCTGCCTACTAACTTGCAGTGAAATCGTTCTAGAAACCACACAGAGCATAGACTGGACTTTCAAATGTGTCACTTCTTGGTTTTATATAGGCTGAGTGTGTATTTAGTGAAACAAGTTAGGTTCCAAATGATCTTAGCTGTGTTCTCTTTTCATGCTTGGGGCAGGGAGAAAGAGAAAGGAAGTTCCTTACACTGTTTAGTAAGCACAGGCCCTCCATTCTCGGTTCTGTTGGCTAGCAGCTGTCATACACTCTAACCAGGGCGCCAAACTCCTGCTGAAGCCTGGGAAAGCTTCCCCTGAACCAATGAGCAGTTCAGAGTGCAGGACTAACACTGAATCTGACTCACAGCAAGATAAAACTGTACCTTTCTTCACATTCAAAGGGTGAGGGCAATTGCTGCCATTAGCAATGGCTGCAGCCTGTCTACACTACCAGAGGCCTGCCAATCACTTTCTCCCAATTTATTTATTAAAAAAAAGGTCTGGGAAGACAGAATGGAATTTTTCATCCAAGACCAAGCCTACAGTAGGCAGTCAAGTTTAGACAGAAAAATCAGGAAAGCAAGGTAGTCTTCATTTTATATCAGATGAGGGCCTGCTTTGATTCTGTTTCTTTTTTAAAATGACTATTTAATTGCCCAGTCTTAGTTTTGAAACACGTACTGTATAATAATATCTAAGAATCCTTTTGGTTCTTTGTTTGTCAATTCTTTATTTAACTGTAGGGTGTGGAACACCACACCGGGTGCTGGTATCACAATGTTTGCCTTGCAAGACTCCTAATCTTTGCTTCTCATTGTTGTTGATCAATTGACTCAGACATAAGCTATCATGCATGGAAGGATCGGATGGCTTGCTCAAGTTTTAAAGGATGGAAGTTATTTCAGCTTGGCCCCAGTCAGGCTTCTTCCCATAACTGATTCATTTGCTACTCAGGGGGATGGATGGGTGAATGTGGCTGGCAAGTGGGTAATTCTCATGCTGGAGTTGGCCATGGGGCATTCTACAGCTTCCCTAGCTGCATAGGCGGAGGAATGCACTCTTGTGCTCTACAATCAAGCATCCCCAGCTTGCAGGGATCCAAAGATTCCAAATACTTAAACTTTTCAGATTTTCTGCCCAGAGCCTGGGGAAGTTCTTTTGGATTTTCAAGACTTCTGGCACAAGCTTCTACACAACCTGCAGCTAACTTAAGATTATGAATACAAGGTAAGGAAACCAGCCTTCCCCAATGCTTTGGTGGCTATAATTGGGGATGTTTTCTTTCTTCTGTCTTTCTTATTCTCCTTCTTCATCTGGAAGCGGAACAATCGCTCTAAAATTAACCCTGCCAGGACTCCATGACCACCAGAGTAATAGGCATAAATTCTAATTTGGTCCCCAGATCGTATTTCTTGTCCGTATTTTAGTTTTAAATAGGCATCGAAGTCTATACCTCCACCAATCTCCTAATTTTGAAGCCCCTTTCTGCCCTTTTGGTTTCTAGCTCTTCCATGACAGAGCTATCCGAAGGGAGTATTGGATTTCTCCAACAAAGCGTAATTCACTTCATAGGCCACAGCGGAAATCTGACCCCCTCACCACAATCACCAAGAATCAAGCCATTAGACTCTCAGAAAGTGGCTAATCACTCCTTCCCCCCTCTTGCACCAGAGAGGGCCTCAGAACTTACCCCTCCTTCCAGAGGGCTTGCTATCCACCCAAGCTCTCCCTGAACAGATCTGGAATCCAATAAAGTAACTGCAAAAGAAAGTATAAAAAAAGAAGGAAAATAGATTAATTTCCAATTGCAAAAAGCCAATAATACAAAAACCATTTGCCTGAGCGTTTCCATATGTGTTGAGGGTGCACATATCCAATCTGATCAAAACCCAAACTCGGTCTCACTTATGTAAATAATCACTCCTCACATGGTCTTCTCCCCTCTTCAAATCTGCAGGTTCTTATTTATTTAACTTGCTTAGCATTTAAAATTCCATCCCAGGACCCGATTGATTCTTTTTTTTTTTCTAAAAAGGATGAATAGGGTATCTCAAGCACAATTCAAACAAAATAAATATATCAATGTAGGACAGCAACACCAGAGAGAAAATTGTGCATTCATCTTTGTCTGCTATCTACTAGATGTATTTGTTTTTGCAAGCCTCAGATGACCACATAACTCACCAGCAGTGGTGACAGACCCACAAGTGAATGCTATCGGAGGACCCAAAGGGTCATGGAAAAGGCTCTCCTCTCCTCTCTCCACCCAGCCCACCCCCACCACACCATCAAATAAATAGGCCCTGGATGTGGCATCCGCTGCTTTTTTAAATATCAAAGTTCCAGAAAGAGGGAATGCCGAACGGATGGGGTTAAAATGCGGATGTACTGAAGCATTCTCTTTTTCCTAGGTCCTTTGGAGGACAATCGAGATGAGCCCTCCACCCCCAGGAAATGGTTGGTTTGAATTTTAGGTATGGAGTGCTGCCTAATGGATTTAGTATGCTTGCGCTACACCTAACAGTGGGCCTCCAAGCTAGGGGGGAGGGAGAAGATGCCTCCAGAGCTGCAATACCCTTCCCAGGGTGGAATAAGGCTCTAGGTGCCGACGACATTGAAAAAGAGGCAATGAATTCAAAACCTATCCACATTGCCTTCCCCACCATGATCTTAAGGCCTGGGGGTCGAAAGGCCCATCTAAAAAGGGACCTTTGGCTTATTAATTTGATCAGGGAGGCTGGCTCTTCAGGTTGGGGGAGGGGTGGGAATGAGAGGCCTCTGTCCTTGAGGCCGGAGTACCCCAACTCTTCAGTTTCCCTCCCAGGACCTGGAATTCTGCCTACCTCCCCTCATTTTACCCCCAAATCAAGTAAGTTCAAACCAGCCCCCTTGCGCTAGCTCTCCGAAAGATCCAGTATTCCTGGGGTCTATTAACTATTCTAACACGTAGAGCCTCCTCCCGGTCGCTCTGGCCTGGAGTTGTGCTCCGTCCTTTTTTCCCGGTCGCTAGAGAAAAGCCCGCTACATCCACTTGGATTTATGGAAGGTGGATTAGGGACACAAAGGGAACAATAAGACCCAATTTACAAAAAAAGGGAGGGAGTAGAAAGGGAGGGTAAAAGGGAGAAAAGGAAACGTGACGGGAATAAAAAGCAACAAAATGAATTAATTTTTAAGGGAAGGAGGGGCAAGGGGGTGCAGCTCCCCTCCACTTCTTTAGCCTACGGTTCCATCGAGCACTTTTTTGTCTAGGGCGCTCAGTCTTGCTTCCCAAAGGAAAAGGGGGGGAATTTAAAGGTAAAACGAAGCCTAACCCTAACTATCTCTACGTCGGAAGCGAGAGGTCTCTGGGGACACTTAACAAGTGTGAGAAGTAAGTAGCCAGGAGAACGCGAGGTACGCGGTTTTGCTCAGAGGGAAAGCAAGCCCCAGGGACTTAGCGGCTGCCGAATTATTATTAAAAGAAACCACAAACCAAGGAGTGAGGAGATGAAGAGGAGGGAGATCACCCTTCTACCCCCACCGACCCCTCCTCCGCCCCAACTGTGTCTGTGGGCAGGTGTATGTATGACTGTCTCCAGAGTCTCCGCCGGGAGAGCTCCGGGTACCTTCTGCCTAGCCAAGCCTAAGTTAGTTTTTGGCTCCCTCCTTCGGAACAGAAAAAATGATAGTGGATTGCACCGGAATAGAAAGATGGACAGATGCCTGGGGAGAAGGAGGAAGGATGGATGGATGGATGGATGTTTGTAGGGAGTGGGAAAAACAGATGAGACAGATGCACAGCTAATGCACGTAGGTTGGGGCACGAACATAGGCCGGAGCCCATGTTCACACACTGTGTGCACTCATGGTACCCTGCACGAATCGTTCAGGTCCATGAAGGCACCCAAAGCACACACCTTTGTCCTCCAACACACCCACACACACACAGCGC